AAGACTTTCCCCCATCTTTTGTTCTGCATAACATTTAGAGGAAGAGAAAGAGGCGGGGGCAGTGGGATAGTGAACTACATATTCCAAGTGCTCCATGCTTCACTGAGAGAGAGTTGAGCCCATATTACAGCAACATAAACACTTATGTCGTACGATTAACCTTAAAAAGCAACTGAGTGTAAGAAAAAGCTCAACTCTCTCAACCAAATTAACAGAGAACAAGAGAGGAGAGCAGGATAGAAAGAAAGAGAGAAAGAACAGTGAGTGAGGGAGAGGGCGAGAAGCAAAGACAGGGGTTATTTTCCCCTTTCCCCCTTTTGCCACCTACTCACCTTTCCCAACTGGGAAATTGTAGAAAAATATCAACACAGCTAAACAGCAAATTATTACCAAAGCTCGCCTCAGTGCCGGGTCCAAAGCAGACATATTGGAGTTGTCATGCAGGGGGATGGCCAATACCTTCCTAGAATTATTCTGAGTATTGCATTCTTTGACAAACATTAAACAAGACAATAAAATACACAGGTAGGAGTGCATGTGCCTAAAAGCATAGATGGCTTGATAAAAAGACAGGAAGTAAGGAAAAAAATGATAACATAGGCCTCAATATTAACAACAGTTTCCTGAGAGTTCAGGTGAATTATACATTCTCAGAACTAGCTACTCGAGCCTACATGATCCCAGTCCTCAAGAAAGAACTGGCTAGAGTCATGTGTGCACCTTAAAGATGATTTTTCTGCCACTGTGACTGTCTGACTGCCTGTCTGTGTCTCCAACTGTCTCATTCTCTCACACTTTTTCCATCCCTTCTACAGAGATGTAAATGCCCTGACTGCCAAAAAGGATTGGGTAGGGCTGGGTAGTTGTTCATTCCTGTTACTTTAGAAGATGATGCTTTTTTTTTGGTTAAAACTACTGGAATTCACAATCAATTCAGAGCAAACTATGTCTGCTATAATCTACATTAATGGATGTCATTAAAATGAATAGACGGAGCAATATGTCTGTCCATGTTTGAAGAGTGATTTTTACGATGAGTTCAAGAAAAGAGGATTTTGATACTTTCTTTTACTGACACCTGGTAAAATATCACGCAATTTTAAAAAATTCCAGACTTTATTACTAACAGGTGCACAAAGTCATAACATTACTACAATTTTTTAGATGTTTTACTTTAAGCTGAAAAGCTAAATGTGTTCACAGCTGAGGAGTGAGGGGAGCATCTGAGGAATGTATAACTCAAACGGTGCAATGCTTAGACAGCATACAGGAGGAAACACTGGAAAAACTGAGGAAAAGTAACATGATGGTTACAATTACAGTGAGAGTGAGAGCTCTGTCTTATGTTAAGAGAGATGTCAGAGAGGAAAACAGGGTTAGGAAGCTGGGTCATAGCCCTCATATGCTGTTTAACACCTGACACCAAGGCCCAACCAAAGTTCATAACTTATATGAAAACAAAGATCTAGAAAAAACAAGGAGGCAGGGATAACAAAAAAAAAAGAATGACCTAACCCCCAGCTCAGTCCTCGTCATTTCTTTTTTTTAGACTTGCTTTCTGTCCAAACATCTTCTGTTACAACCTTGCTTTTTTCTTAAAGCTACTCTACCTAATTTCTTTTTTAGAGGGTCTAGTGAAACTCAAAACAAACTGACGCCATAAGCAGCTCCTAACCACTCTCTGCCCCTCCCATCACATCCTGTTTCCTAGCGATGACATGAACTACAGATGCCTGGTTGCAACAAAATGTAGTCTCCAGTCCAAACTAGTGTTAGCTGACTAACAATGACACTTGGCAATCCAGCAGAATAATCTGCTTACTGCTAATGTCAAACATAGCACTAAAGTTACACAAAGCTCAAATCATATTAATAAAATAGAAAGGTAAAATCATGAGCTGGAATAACAACAGAAGGGCTGTAAGCTGCAGAGTGTCATGGGGGGACACCACACCAGGGCCCGATTTTGCACTTTTTTGTGAGACAATGTGTAAAATTGTAATTAATCCACCTTTAAAGTTTATTTCTAAGAAATAAAAGTCTTAAGAATGTGTTACATATAAAAAGAGTCTTTAGCCTTTAAGAACATTCAAAGACCAAAATTAAATTAACCATTTATAAGCAAAGACAGCAAAGTTCAGAATTCTAACACAGTCTGTGGGATTCACAAGGGCAAGGTCTCCTGCAGAAAATCAGGGCAGGTCACAAGCAGCCAGCACATGAGTCCTTGGCTTACATCCAGCAGATCAAGGGCCTCGAACTAAAGCGGGAATGACACCGACCTCTCTGAGACCCAGCAACTGAAACAGCCTTAACAAGGTATTAGTAGGCACCTCTATGTACACTCCAAATCTCAGCCTGGGTCTAAAGAAACACAGCTGCACAGAGTGCTTTCTAGAGCGGAGAGCAAACCTGCACACAGCATGGCACCCTGGTTCAGCTCAAGGGATGCAACCAGAAGTTCACAGATATGGGGGTCAAAGTTTCCTGAGGTCATGTTTTAAAAACATTTTTCTATCTCCAAAATGGCTCCTCTAAAGTTTTGGATATAATCCTTTGATGGTAAAAATGGCTGTTTATTTTCTTTCATCATATTTATTTAATGTATATGCTAGATACTATTCCTGTTGTAATGGGGTATGAGTTTAGTTTGCCCTCCAAGAACGTGGTACAGCTGTGTGTGCATGCATGTGCAAGCACGTATGGCGGTCGTCTCTGTGTGACTGTGGGCGTCTGGAGGAGAGAGAAGCCTCATCTGTTACCAGCCCAGCCCGGCCGGCCCGCCGTGTGAAGTAGAACGACAGGGTGTCACTGCCGACGACAGTGATGGATGCCCTAAATTCTGTAGGCAACTTGGGCAATTGGACACATTAACAACAGGCACCTGCTTTCCCCCATACAAATCTATTAAAAGATAACAGCAATGTCGACTCCCGCACTATTAGTAAATTATAGCTCTCTCTGAGTGTGAGGTAAGCATAGGCCTCCCTTTACCAACTTACGCCTACCCACTCCCCTGTGCTACTTATTGGCAGTCTTACAGTGCCACCCAGTGGCAGCAATTTAAAATGCTTTTCTAAAATGTGAAGCAATATTTGAACATGGATACAAAAGTCAACACAGGAGACAAGGTCTACTCAAAGGTAACTGTTCCATCCTTATCTGAGTACAAGACCCATGTACTATAAAATAATTGACCATTCACAGTCTCTAATTTGCACAGAATCAACATTTAACTGTATTATATTTGACAGTAAGTTCCAAAAAAACAAAAAAACAAACAAAATGTGCCACAAAAGACACCAGCCAGTATTCACTGTCACATTTTCAATGTGAACACAAATTCAAAAGCCACATCAAACATATACTATTCACACAAGGTGCAAGTTAGTTATAACAACATGCTCAAAGGCTACTCCCTTTTACAACTGTTGAATGTTGTTTGTTGATCACTTCTGTGACGACGGGTTATCTTAATCTGTGGATTCTTTGAGTGATCAAAGGTGTGTCTGTGTGTGTCGGTGGGTTACAGAAATATAAATTATCTTTGGTGCACTTTGAGAAATCCACTCTTGCAAGCTATTTCTCTGTAAACAAGTCTTTCCTTGAGTTGACTGGGTCGAATGGCTAGTGACCAGTCGCATTGTAGCTGACATAAAACCATTATACCTGCTCTATTAAAGCATTAACAACATGACACCATTATGACATAGCTTGGGCGAGAGCTCAGATACCCAACATAAATGTGTGTCACATAAATTTGCTGTGAGTAAATATTTCTGTCTTTGAGTTGGGTAAGTGTTTGTGAGCTGACCAAGAATAAAGGCAGGACAAGACCAGTAAATACTTTTACAACAGGCAATTTGTCAGGATGTATAAATGTCTCGGATTCCCAACAAGCCTGAAGTAAAATTTACAGTCACCCGGGAAGTGATAATGCACAAAAAAGAATGACTTTTTACTCTCTCTCATGTCTCTCCGACCACTAAAACCTTCCCCATAAATCTCCTCTGGTCCTTCCAGATGTCTTCTGTTGTCAGATATCATGCGCTGACAGTGCCTTCCACCATCATTGTCTTGACAGAAATATGATATGTGAAACTGCAGTGTCACATCACTTAACATGATTTAGCCTAAGCTAGCCTGCACCATTTTACTCCATCAAAAATGTCACCTTTTTTCCAGTAATGATGGTAGAGGAATAGGATCCCTGTGTTGGGGTGTGAGATTTATCTAGGCTACTGATTTATGACTACTGCCAGCTAATGTACTAAAAGAGTCTCCTCTCTTCCTGTCTTTGGGGTTTTTATTAAATTGGCAAATAAGCAGTATTATTTTATGGGCAGAAATGAAGGCACTTCATGTTGTATGTAAACCCCACATACTGTATAAGATATTATGTGTTTCAAACCTATCCAGAATATCCCACTATTGTGTCATCAGATAAATCAGTTTTCTGGGTCTTATACTGAATATGTACTACATCCTCTCATGGTACATGTCCCTTAAATGTGACACAGTATGTAAGGTGGTGCTAATTGATTCTTTGGGCTCAGTTGCTTACACATCCTTAGATCAAATGTTCCACTAAGAATAATTGCTTGGCAAATATTCTAAAGCCTCATGGGATAATCATTGCTGTACAGCAGGTTGATTACTGCAGCTTGCCCAGGAACTTCTAAATACATTAAGACATATTAGACAAAAAATACATTTAGCAAAGCACAAAACAACTCTGTGTCTGGAGTTGTACTATATAATCATGGTAAGCAAACAGAAATCATCCATGTAAGTAGCACTGACAAATTAAACTGCTCACCAATGTTTCCACTATACTGGACATATGACAAAATAGGTTTATTCCCCTCATAAAACCTCCAACACACCACGGCCACACAAACACAAAATTATGAGTAGTACCTAAATTTAAATCAATGCATTATCTCATACCAAATTTTAGAAATCCCCAATGTGCAATAAAAGACAAAAAACAAGTGTACCTGTTACCACAATGGAGTGGCTAGATCCACAAGCCAGCAGCTTCACCCTGCCCAACCTAGCCACTGTGAAGTCTCTCAGATGGGCCTCATCTGGACCGATGTCCCCTGGCCTGCCATGTCCAGTCTGGCCAAGTGCCCCGCTACCCCAGCAGAGCAGATCCAACTCACACTGCATGTTCTGGGAACACAGCCAAATGAAATGTGAACAAAGTTCGCTTGGTACTTTTTCAACTTTATTATTATTATACAAAATAAAACAGTTTATATGTGTGACAATCTTCTCAAAGCTTAGGACTCAGGTTAGGAACTAGAGTTCTTAATGTGAACATGCATTTAAATAGCAGCATTTTTTATCACCAGTTTACATCTCACACACACACACACCAATAAACATATAAAATATATATATTTGTTATGTTTACGTTATAAGGTATTCAAAAATAGTTGTTATTGGTGTGAAAGATGTGGTATGATGAAAATAGGGAAGCGTTTTAATTTAAAATAGTCGTTTCCAAGTCTTCCAGTCAGCATTAAGCTTGCATGAAGCCAATTCGAAGTGTCCAGCCTTATTTGTAATGAGCCGTGGATGTGATGTAGATCACCAATATTCTTCTCAACATGTTTATTTACAATCTGCCCTCTGAGCTAATTAGAATGTGACCCTGCACACACATGCAAACACACACATAAAGCTGGGTGTCTGTGCCTGTGCCTGTATACGCATACAGACGTACACACACCCCACAGCAATATTACCAGCACAATTCCATCCGACTGATATTGGAATTTTCTGAAAGAGCAAACCAATAGATAACCTATTACAAAACTAGAAGCAATCAATAGCTAATTTCTTTGCATTGATTAACACTTGAACATTTAACATGCGCCCTGTGGCCACAATGTGTGTTCTGGAAGCTTAGATCCCCATTGGCCCTCATGAGTATTAAAATTATTGATTCAGACAAAGGACTAAAAATGTCAAGCTGTTCATTAATCTTAATAAAGACTGGACTTGACCAAGGCACCCTTTCTCCCACTAGAGGGATGCAACCTATCCAACTAGGAGCACATACACGGCATAGATTAATGAGCTTCTACTGAGGGATAAGATTGAACTTTTTGCCATTAATAGATCAATCACAAAAGAACACGTCTTTAATAATAGTACTCACATTCACCTGGTGTACAGTCTAACATAACATTTTAAAATTCATATTGACTGTCTAATAGTTGTTCGTGGAGAAATTTCAAAGAAACCTCACTAAACAAGTGACACATCAGTAAACAGGTCTTTGCACAATATGAAGCAGCATCTGCTGTGATGCTACAGCTGGTCCTCTGCAATCCATAATGGACCAGTGTTATTAGACACTGCCTAACAGCCACTTTCATCTCTGTCTTATGTAGATGAGTTTTGCAGCAAGCAGGGCTGTCCTTAGTTTAATGAAGGCCCTAAGCAGGATTTGATTTGTTCACGTTTCTCACTTTTAATTACTATATTTCTTTCTCACTTACTCATATGATTCCTGACTGGCCAGTTAGGTTGTTTCCATCTTTTGATACATGCATATCCACCAATCAGGGACAGATGTACCAGATCATTCTGAAATATACACAATATATTAATATCTTAGTAAATAAAATAAAACAAAAAACTAGATGAAACCCCATTCTGGCTGTTCATATAGGACGACAACCAACTGACCAAATTCTGTGCATCAAAGCCTCTAAACTTCACAATATATTTCACCCCTGGCAGAGTTTTGTATATTGAGATTATGTTATCAATATCCTGAAGACTTTATAAGTGACAACCCAAAGACCAGTGAGTGCATCCATTACACACATTAACTTTAGTAATGCCAGTTGGAAATATCATTTGTCATTCCCCTGAACATATCCCTCCGGTGAATAAAATTTCATAAAGGTTTAATAAAAGCATTTTGTACACACATTTTAACACGAAATCTGTGCAACTGTGTCATCTCAACAACATCTGATGGAAATTATTAAAAATATTTAGATATATTTCACAGACAAAGAGTAAACTTGGACTTGGCACCAATAAGGTAAACAAGACTGTCTCAAACTGGACTTGAAGAAGAAGAAGAAAATGAGGAATTCACACTTGACAAGCATTTATAATCCCATTAGGTAACAATACCTTAGCATCCCGTTAGCACTGTAACATACAGTATTTTCTGGTCAAGTTACTTCTGTTTGTCCACTCAAAAAATTTGGAATGCTGTAATTACAGATACATCACTGTAAAGTTAAAAGCCTTAAAGCAGGTTGCAAAGACCAGTTTTGGTTTGTAACTGCATGGCAAGCAAACACAACATCAAAGGCAAATAAGGCAGAAACACACTTAGCAGCACACAGCTATTAAGAACTAACCTGTGTTAAAGGACAAACTCTTTTCATTTCATCCTCCTCTTCATTTCCCTTTGTTTTCTCACATTGGTCTGGTTGTCTTTTGGCACTGGCTTCATGTCCCCCTTGTCGTTTCATTGCAATGCCCACATTGTCAGGGTAACTATCTCCATAGCACCTTCTGTTGACAGCACACCAGCCAACTGAGATTAACTTATTACAATCTAAACTGGGGCAAACCTTGGAAATGACAAAAGGTAGAGCACTTCAGAAAAGCACTGACACACACAGCATTGCGGGAGTAAAATCTGTATATCTGAATTGCATATATAAGTTTAACCAAAGACAATGAACAAAAGACAGTTTATGGACTCCTATGACAGTAGCCTGTATCTGTGATCTGTCTGACACAATATAAAATAAAAGACCATTAGCAATTAATTTTAACAATAAACAATACAATGAATTAATTTTTTAATAAACAATACATGTCTAGTCATACACTGCATAACATGGCATAATGAAGCCCAACAAGGTAGCCAATAAAGGGAACTCATAAATCACAACATCTACCTTATATCAAGAGCCCACCAAAAAACTAATTACTGAGTCGGCATACAAATCACATATACTGTATTAAACAGGACAAGGTGAATGCTGCATTCAAACCAGAGAGCATTAAAGTGCCCAGATGATGAAACCAAAAACACTCCCTTTGTAAAAGCATTTTTATTTCTGTCACCTCCCCATCAGGGAATCTGGATAATCTGAATGTATGATTAAAGATACCGACATGCCTGACACCAGGAGTCTTCTCATTGTGATTCCTATGGGAATATTTATGTTCACAAGTGTGAGCATAAGTGCCTCACATCAGCCAAAGATTATTAGTGTAATTAAACCCAAATTCAATGGTGCAATTGTCTAGTATTTTCACTGTATTGTAATCTTCACTCAGCCAACTCTGCAAACATACATCTGTCATTTTGAAAATAAATGCTTGCAAGTTGTTAACATAGGAATCTTTTTCATCTATCCCAAATGACATGGAAGCTGCATTAACTGCTTTTTATAGGCGACTAACTGGAAATTAGACAACGGGGTGATGTCAGACATTCATCAATTTCTGACGTTTTTGTTTTTGAAAAAGGCCTCGTACATCTTTTTCACAGATCGTCAGGGGTGGGGGGCCTGGGAATGATGGAGATGGTTGTAGAGGAAGCAGCTGCTGTTGGTGTGTCTGAGGTTAGGTGGGTGGGGTTCCTGTAACTGGAGATGTTCTGTAGGCTTCTCACAGTGGCAGGGTCATTGGCTGAAATCTGGTTTTTCAGCTTTTCAGAGTAGCTTCTCTTTGCTACCCTGATCTCCATTGTCATTGTGTTTCTGGCCCTGAGTTTTACTTTGAATCAGGGCTTGTTGTTGTATATGCAGAAGGTCATGCTGGTGTATGATGTCACAGTGTTGGTGAGTGGATTCAGGTTTGTTCAGCAGCTTCAAAAACACTCCAGTCTGTGCAGTCAAAGCTGGCCTGTAGCTGTGACCTTGCCTCCTTGGTTCATCTCTTCACTGCTTTAACCACAGGCTTCACAGCTTTAAGTTTCAGCCTGTAGGTCGGGATGAGATGGATCATGCAGTGATCAGAGTCCAAGGGCTGCATGACAAGACAGAGTGATAGGCGTTACCATTCTATCCAAATTATCTGGTTGGCTAGGTGCTGCAGCGCCTTGCTAGCACAAGCCTGAGGTGGAATGCAATGAACAGAGTCTCCAACTACAGCCCAAAACCTGACAAAAAAAAAAAAAACTGTGAAGGAATTACTGCCTACACTTGCATGTATAATGTACAGTATATCCAACACATGGTAAAATACAACAAATTAAAAAAACTGGGTGTTTACAATTATCTCACATCTACTCAAGGGCAAATTGTCTAGTGCCCTGAGGAAGGCAGCTTTTTGCTGCTATCCATAGGTTGTAACCCACTTTTTGAACATACACTGATCCAGCTGGATAAAGGCTTTTTTTTTGTTAATTTTTAAAAGAATTCTTTGGATTTCTTCTTTTCCATTTAATTGTATTCTTTAAGTTATGTTTGTTAAAGTTTTTTATGTAAAAAAAAAACACTTTCATTGCAAATTGACCATGGCCTAATAACAAGCATAGGAAAAAAATACTTTGATCCTGTATGATAAGCTACACGTCAATACCACAGCCAGCTAAAACCATTATTAATTTCTTACAGAAGTAAGAAAGAAAGCAAGTAAAAAAAAACAGGCATGTTCTGACACAAATTAAACTACTTTAAAACAATTTAACTTCACATCCTTTAGTTCTGATGATTCAATGACCATATAGTTCCACAAAACATAGGCTAATATTCCATCCTTTTTTTTTTTTTTATTAAACAGTTTTTAATCTAGGTGCTCATTTTATTCACCTATGCACCAGGATTTCACTATGATTGACGTCCAGGCTGCTCTGTTTGATTGTTGAATGACTGGAATTGCCTCTTGCTCAGAGGTCAGTCTTGTATGAGTCCCTACTCTTTCTTCTGTACACTGGATGGCAGTAGGACCCTTTGGGCAGACTTCTAGAAGGGCGTGTCCTGGTCCACATTTCAGCCGCCAGGAGGTCCTCGTAACACATAGTATACCGCGAAGACGCTTAGAAAGTAGTTGTGGGTTCTGTATTTATTTTACCTGTGTCAATCCTACTTTGGCTCATCTTCGACAATGCCTTCAGTTAACAGCTTGACGATTGTTTACGAAGCGCTGAATGAGTGCGGGACGTTTTCGGAGGGAGACAACATAAATGGAAAAGTAACACTGGATTTGCAAAAGGAAATAGGAGTCCAGGCCCTGTTTATTAAAATTAAAGGAGATGCTGATGTCCGTTGGACTGCAAAGCACGGAGATCACACCCGTACCTACTCTGCGCACACAAGATATTTCAAACTGAAAACGTTTTTAATACCAGAGGCCTCAAACGGTATGCTACGGGCGTCATGTTGTTTACCTTATGCATGCCCTAAGCTGACATATGTCTACTGAATTCCTCCCTGGTTTTGGTCAGTTTCGTATCACTGACCCTTAGTTTGAATTTATTTTCTGAATCCACTCAAATTCTTCTAACGATGCGGAATCCAAATAAACCGGTCCAGTCCAGGAAAGCTATAAATTTGGTCAGTGTTTCAAAGGATATGGTTTGATTTGCTTAAAAAGTTGAAATGGAAACTGGAAATGACGTCGTCTCTCTCGATGCCGAAAGTCGAGCACAGCGCCCCCAGTGGTCAGCTGTGACTTACCACTGTCTGACGCACTGCAAAAGTAATAGTATTTGAGTGGTGTAGGGTCTTTTAGAAGGAAACAATGAGCAGGATTATTATTGTGGCTGCCTAAAATTAAAAAGAAATGAAATTATTTTTGAAAACCCTCCTTTGAACCACAGTGAGTAGTTTTCACATCTGCAGTAGGCCAGAAAATATATTTTGAATGTTCTGGCTTTATTTTACCTTTAAAAAAAATGTCACATACAAATTATGACATTAGTAAACAGGCTTTACGTTTTTACCTGGCAGGTGTAATATTCAGCAGTGGTGGTGGGGGTTATTTTGATGCTTTCAATATGTATGCAATACATAAGAGTCACAAGCTGGGTCTAATTAATTCTCAAGTTCAGAATTTAAATAAAGGCTAGGTGCATTAGTGTTATCAATAAAACTGATTAAATTACTGATTGTGCACCATGGCCCCTATTGTATAATATTTTATGCTGCTTGGAAAATTATGACAGGCATCTGTGCAAGGATGTGCAGTAATGTTGGAGCTAATATTTAGGTTATGTTTATTCCAGTCATAGTGCAAAGTGACAACTGAATTACAGCTCTCACTTTAATATAGTGGACAGAATAGCAAATATGGCAAAGTAGTGTAGTAGGACTACTTAGGAATACTTGTATAAAACGCAAATATCTGAAATCTGTTTCTCAGTACAGTACTTGGTGAAAAGCACTTTACTATTTAGGCTAGTACTAGCTTGTAACAGTAGTGCACTACTGTCAGTACTGACACCAAGACCTTTTTCTTTTCAGACACAGTTGTTCCCCAAGGGATCCATGTCTATAATTTCAGCTTCAACATACCACCAGAGTAAGCACAGTAGGACATTTTACCAAAACACAATGTTTGCACTTATATGATCTAATTGGTTTTATCAAACGGGACTGCATAGCCTGCTCTGATACAATAATGTTAATTCAGGTTTCAGTTCAACCACATAGCCTGCTCTGATACAATCTATAATGTTAATTCAGGTTTCAGTTCAACATTAATCTGCTGGTTCTCCATTACAGAAGCATGCCTTCATCCTTCAGGGGATGTCATGGGAAGATCATCTACAAGCTGGAAGCTGTACTGTCCAGGAGTTGGAGGATAAACAAAACAGTAGAAGAGGAGATACATTTTGTATCCAAGTCCTTTCCAAACTACCATTCTCTGATGGTGTGTACAACATGCAACCATACATGCAGCTCTGATGTATCACTTGACAATATATTCTACATATTGAGACTAAATTTTATAATTTATTACTGTAGGCACCAGTATTTAGAAAGGGAAATGAACAATCTAGTCCTAATGCAGTCTACCCAAATACTGAGACAGCTTTCAGTAGCAGCATTAGCTTTACATGTGGTTTTCCTTCTATGAAAAGTCAAACTGCTATTTAAAAAAAAGGCCTACTAGAATTTGGATTTGAATTTGTGATTCAAATGGAAATAAGTCAAGAACAAAATCTGTCTTTAGTGGTATTTAATAAAACTTTCATGAAAGAGCTCAGTGCATTCAGAAAAAAGGTTTCCGCATCAAAGAGCCAAGTAAAACAAGAGCACTTATAATCTGTCAAATGTATGTAGACGAAATGTCCTTGTGTACAGAACACTGTCCTTGTATTTACCTTCATACCCAAACTGCAAGAAGCCAGAGACTAGCATCATGTACATTGATCAACATGTAAATCCACCTCTCTACACAGACATAAAAGCATCTGTCAATTAACATTGGCTGGAGCTTACTCATGATTAATTTCTGCAATTTCCTCCACATACTGTATTGAAGTCTATCCATCATCGCTTTTTCATTGAATTGGGTCGTGGGGGGGCTGGAGCCTATTCCAGCTGACACTAGGCAAGAGGTGGTGTACATCCTGGAAGTCTATCACAGGGTTGATATGTAGACAAACAACCACACTCACTCCTGCAGGCAATTTAAGAGTCCCCAGTCAACCTAAACTGCACATCTTTAGACTGTGGGATGAAGCCAGTGTACCCGGAGAGAACCCGCGCAGGCACAGGAAGCACATGCAAACTCTGCGCAGAAAGGCAGTGGGTTGGCCGGGACTCGAACTCAAGCTCAGTGGTAGCTACCTGTGGTCCTGAGCATCTTGCCCTGCTCTGTAACACTTAAATGATGCACTGTGTTGTCTTAATGGAAGTGGATCAAAAGTGATTGTTTTCTCCGTTACTTGCATTCTAGTCACCCCAAGTGGGTTCAACAACCAAAGAGATGGGACTTTTCACCAAAGGACATGCACAGATGGACGTGACTGTTAACAAGAGGGCGTATGTCCCAGGTAGTAAAATTCGTCACACATCGTAGATTCAAATCATGTAAAGGAAATCTTCTGCTGAAGGCACTTGCCAAAAAGTCATGTCATGGTTGTCATAGCCAACATTTCGCGAAATAGCTAATTTTTGGAATAAGATGTGCAATTGTACTATTGACATACAGTAGTTCAGTTATCTTTGCCAGCATGAAAGAAACTAATTACTGTAGTCACTTTTGTTAGATTCAGGCTTAGGGAGGACCCAGATGCAGATACAAGCTGAGGTAAAGCATTACATCAATTTTAATACAACTGATACAGAACAAACAAACAAGTAGAACTACTAAAAGGGGCTCAACCTGACAAAGCAACACAAAGGCTTCTTCAGATTACTACAACTAAACAGAACAGTCAGGGACCTATATAATAAACTGAAAACACAAAACTAAAGGGACAAACCAAAGTCCAAAATGGCAGACAAGTGCAGAGTCCATAGGCAA